TATATATATATAGAGAGAGAGAGAGGGAGAAAGAGAGAGAGGGGGGGGAGAGAGAGAGGGGGGGTGAGAGAGAGAAAGAGAGAGAGAGAGAGAGAGAGAGAGAGAGAGAGAGAGAGAGAGAGAGAGAGAGAGAGAGATACCTACGTGATAGAAGAAAAATCTTTTTGCTTTTGGTAGCGTCACTTAAACTGGTGCAAAGTTGATGCAAAGAAGTAGGCCCTACCGTTAAACAAAAATCTCCGGGGTTGGCAGGTGTGCGGTGTAAAGAGATTGCAGGAATAGAAGAAAGGAAAAAAAATACGGGAATCCTATTTACTTTCGGTTTATAGCTGTGTTCCGATTATCAGTGTTCACTTTAAGTGGACTCGACTGATGTATTTGAATTGCCAATTATGTTCGCTAACTCTGACCGCGTATTCCAGAGTTGGCCTTCCAGCGTGAGTGCATGTGTTCGTGTGTCGGATTCTCCTTCGTTTCTGTGATTTTGTATTGTATTATTACGCCAGCGCTGTGGTTTTGTATAAATTTTATACGTCCGCGACTTAGGTTAGGTGTCGTGTTAGCCTTGGATGTTATATCCTTCTCGGATCTGATCAGCTCTGACAAGTAGGGCTGAGGTAGCCTGCATCTTAAACTGCCTAAATTATGTTGTTCAGGACGTAAATCCCCTATATTCTTATCTCCTGTAAGATACCTAAGTACAGTATATCTGAACAGTTGCAAGAGACGATAATATATTATTAGTAGTATTATCATTAATTGTTATTTTTATTATTATTGTTATTATTATTCTTCTTCTTCTTCTTCTTATTATTATTATTGTTATTATTAATTTTTTTATTATTGTTGTTGCTGTTATTATTATTATTATTATTATTATTATTATTATTATTATTATTATCATTATTATTATTATTATTATATAATTATTATTATTGTTATTATTGTTGTCGTTGTTGTTACTGTCATTATTCATTTCTTCAGAGCCCCCTTCCCTCCACGCCCAGGTACGTGCTGCTGTAGCCTGACACAAAGCATGGGTCACCTGAGTCTGGTGAAATGCCTGGTCGTGTACGTCATAGTGCTGGACAGCGTGACGTCAGCCACCAGGAACATCTCCGACCAGGTAAGGTGGAAAAGGCGGGTACAGGACAGCCTGGCGGGGATCTGGAGGAAGCGCCAAACAAAAATGAAATGTGAGGCAGCTTGGTGGAATCAGGCTCTCGTCAATTTTGGGGCATAGTTATTGGTATCATCTTAAAGCTTGTTTACTTGCCTTTATTTGGATGAAAAAAATATCCGTTTATCTTAAATGCAAGTCGAGATATTTGAGAATAAAAGAGGTGGGGGTCACCTGTTTTCAGAGGTAAAATTATAGAGAAAACGGCCGTCAAAGAAGTGTTATTTCCTTAGCTTAAAAGTCCGTGGTAACTGAAAATTTACATCTTTTGTGCCTTTAATCAACGTTTTTCAGAAAAATCCACACAGAAATGAGTTCTTTAATGGGCATGAAAGGTGTTGAGCCCAAAAACAAAAATTTGATGAAAATTCACAAACCTGCGGAAAAATGCAAATTTCTTCACTTTGATTATTTTGACGAGAGCCTGATTCCCCACGCTGCCTCATAAATACACTTAACACTAAGACTAACATTATGCTCATTATTTCCAACATCAGAGCATCATCATCGTCACTATAAATAATTATCACCATGATCACCATCATCATCATCATCATCATCATCATCATCATCATCATCATCATCATCATCATCATCATCACCATCATCATCGACTAAACAAGTCCCCTTTTTCAAGTTTCGTTTTTTCGAGAAAACATAACAATTTGCACCATGTCAGTACATGTTTACGTAACCAACAAATACAGGCACCAAAATCAGGACACCGGACAAATAAAAAAAGAAAAAAAGAAAAATGGGAAAGAGTGGGTGGTTGGCGGGTGACCTGGTGTGGTTTGCACCTTCTTTTCTGAAAAAGATCATGGTATAAATCAACCGGCTGATTGGTAATTTGATTGGTTAAACGTTCTGATAGGTTTGCTCCTAGGTTGAAAAAATGACTGATTAAGTAGTTGATTGATTGATTGATTAATCGATTGATTGAGAGAGTGAGTGAGTGAGTGAGTGAGTGAGAGAGTGAGTGGGTGAGTGAGTGAGTGAGTGAGTGAGTGAGTGAGTGAGTGAGTGAGTGAGTGAGTG